TTTGTGTTTGGGCAGCACATTAAAACGGTGTTTGACCTTGTGCATTTCGTAGTATTAATTATCACAGCAGCCTGTGATTGGCTCTGATGTCGTAGGGGTTGTCCAAATGTTTCATTGCCAAACGTACTTTTCAATACGTGACTTTTCTTGCCTCTCAGTCTAAGTACTTTGTGTGCTGATTACGCGGGTAGTCGGTAGAGTTTGGTGCCTGTCGGCACAGCTCACAATAAAGCCCGAATTCTTACGGTTTCCTATGCACAAAAATGTACAGCAAAGTGTTTTTCTATCATGCGAATGTGACATTTCGCAAAGGCATTACTTTATCATAGTCGAATTAAGCAAATATGCCAAACCCCAGTAACAATTAAGGAAGTCTAGTAGTCATTCTCGTGGATTCGAGATAATTGCTTAGGAAATCCTGCCTAGGCAGTGAGCTTGCTGTATCTGTAATGGTGGATTCCATACGAACGGTAAGTTGGGCGGGTAAAATCGACCCAAATGTTATTAAATTCACGGCGCACAGTGAGCGTTGGCCGCGCAAAAGCCTCCCCTGCTGTGTGAGTTCGACTCCCACCGAGGCAACCAATTTTTCAGAGTCGGGTCGACTGAAATGTACTCTGTCATTCTCTTTATTACTATGGCATGTTAGGCGGCATTTCAATAAATTTTGTTCCCTGTTCCTTCTTGCAACTAGTGATCCCCTTGTTATATTTTCCGCTTTCAGAAAGTGGAAGCGAAATGACCCGGGAGGAGCTGAACTCTCTCCTCGTAATGACGTTGGAGCGCATCAACAAACTTTTCGAAAGTCTAGATGCCAGCGATGCCGAAGCAAAACAACGATTCGTTCAGTCCTTGAAGACACACAATGCGGTCTTCAACCAGCTAGTCCGGGACTCCGTGGAGCGTGAACTGTCACATGAGCGCGCTAAACAGGAACTTGAACGATTTGAATGGGTAACTCTCTTTAAACCTTTAGTTAGTCCTCATTTCCATAAACCTT